TAGTAGTCGTGTACGACGATCTTCAATCGGCTAGCAATCATAATACCAGTGGTGGTAGTCACTTTGATAATAGCAGTGCAGATAAAGATTATAATAATTTTTGTCTATTGTCTGATAAAGAAGAGAAGAAATAAGGCACAGTCAATGAGACCAGTCACAAATGGGGCTACTAGATCTATGCCAATAGATAGTGACAATATTCAAGATGATAATCAACATGTTGAGATTTCATCTCATTATATTGATCAGTTATCAAGCCATTTAATATCAGGGCTGAACCTCACAATACAGGAGTCTGTGGGTCAAGGTCAGTGAGGATTACATCAGCTAGTGATCAAAAAATATTATTTTTAAAATTGTTTATAATAGGTGAATTTGGTATAGTGTATCGTGGGCTGATATCGGTCAAAAATGATATACCACAAGCTATTGCTGCAAAAACTTTAAAAGGTATTTATCTGTGTGCATATGAATGTATAACTATTACTATGTTCATTTGCAGGTTTTTACAGTAAGAGCGATATTGATTCTCTACTGGACGAGTGCATTATAATGATGTCATTTGATAATTTAAATGTATTACCACTGATTGGTGTGTGTCTTGATCTTGGACCAGGAAGTTTATTGTCTTACCTCAAGAAAGAGAGAGCTAATCTTACAGTAGCTGATACCAGTGAAGAGGATATTGTACTGAATGTCAGAAAACAGTTACTCTCCATTTGTTTACAAGTTGCTAATGGAATGTGCTACTTAGCTTCACAGAGATTTATTCATCGTGATTTGGCTGCTAGAAACTGCATGTAAGTCATGAATAATTAAGTTAACTATTAAGTTTTTCTGATATATGTGCATGTTATTATGTAGTGTAGCAAGTTTGAGCAGATTCCAACAAAATTTATTTTTAAAGTAACTAAAAAATTGGGCCAAAGTCCCTGTACTATTAGTAACGTGGTAGTGCTACTAAGTAGGATTCACCCATGGCTGCCACGACTTTTGCAACCTTGCTATTAATTAGTACAAGGATTTTGGCCAAATTTCATCAAAAATGAAAAGTATAGATTCCTTAACTTTTATAATTTATTCTAATGCATATAGATGTTCTTATGTAGTGTATGAAGTTTGAGCTAATTCCAATTAAGATTTAATTTTTTATGAATTTTTAAAGTTGCTCAAACTTTGGGCCAAAGTCCCTGTACTATAGTACAGGGTTTTTGTCAAAATTTTACCGAAAATGACTAAGAGAGAATTCTTTGTTTTCATAATTTTTTCTGATACATATACATGTTTTTATGTTGTCTAGCGAGTTTGATTAGATCCTGATCAAATTTGGATTTTTTATAAATTTTTAAAGCTGCTCAAAAAATTTGGCTATTTTTCCAATAATCTCTAAGAACGAAATCTCAAACCATATGTAAGGCTTGTCATCTTATAAAGCATGCTTTTTAGCTCACTTAGAGTATGCTTTGTGGGATTGTCTATTTTGTTATTCTTACAACAGAGTCCAGAATAATGCCAAACTAATCCTTTACTAGATTATAACCTTAAAGATTATCTAATTGCATTAGTAGCCTAATTAAACTTTACACAAATACAATTTTATAGGATTGATGATAATGGTATCATTAAAGTAGCTGATTTCGGTTTATCAGAAGATATATATGCTAAAAACTACTTCAGACAATTTAAGAGAAACACCAATGAATCACCATCCTTGACAACTGTTAAGCTACCAGTGAAATGGATGGCAATAGAGAGTCTCCATGATGGACTGTTCTCTGAAAAAACTGATGTGGTCAGTTATATACAGTAACTAGAAATATTGATATTGCTACTATTTTTAATTTTACAGTGGTCTTATGGTATATTGTGTTGGGAAGTGTTCAGTCTTGGTAGAGTACCTTATCCTGGTCTAGATCCAGTAGGAGTAGTTGAATTTCTTGATACTGGAGGAAGACTACTAGCTCCACGTGGTGAAGCCTGCTCAAAAGAAATGTATGTAATGGACTATGCCCATGAGCATGTATTGGGTTTGTCATTGTGCTTTAATTATAACTAACGATACATATCATGATCATTTTAATAAACTTTGTAATTCCTTATCCTTATTATTATAGTTACTCACTGATGACTTCATGTTGGTCTGAGTCTCCTGATGATAGGCCAGTGTTCAGTGATTTAGTATCATCAATCAATGCACTCATTGAGCCATTGGCTGGCTATCTGGACTTTAATGGGATTAGTGATAACTTTAATAATAGTATAGAAGATGATGATTATGTATGACACCAATTTGTCCTGTTAATAATTATTTTAGTAGTGTTTACATGTGATAGGTAAACTTCCTGAATGATGCTCACTCAAAAGAATTGTTTATAACATGTCTTGTATAAAGATTTGTATAAATTAAATTATAAAATAAAATAATAAAATTATTATTCTTCCTGCCTTGCCATAATTTGGCATTCTTTATGAGACAGAGTGCAGTTACAAGGGAGTCTAGGTTAAACAGATAACTTACAAATGACCAACAAATTATACACAAACACATGATATAAAGCATATAATACTATCTCTATATGTACTACGAAAGAAGTGACGCAAAAATCATCATATCCTGTTGTTTTGAATGCTTCAAACTTTAGACAGTGTTGATGATGGAGATGGACTGCTATCCTTTGATTCGATTTTTACATCCAAGTCCTCTCCTATAGTAAATATAAACATCAACATTAACAATGAAAACAATAACAGTTAAAAGTAGGTCATAATGAGCATACCTCCATATGTTCCTAATGTATACTGTCCATAGATATTTTCTACTACTGATTTCTTTTTCTTAATGCCATTCATCTACATTTATTGTGATCATCTATTAGATGAAGTATATATATTCAGATACTAACTCACAGTGTCACTGGACGAGTGGAATCTCATTCTA